TTCTTAAAGTTTTTTTCTTTTTTTTTAAGCTTAGGAGGCAGAGGGAAAAAATGCTTGGGGAGGCAGAACTGGGAGGTAATTTAAGTTGAAAATTAGAATTTTCTTTGGCTTTAGGTTAATCATCCTTTCCTCTTCTGATATAAACAGATAGCTTAAGTAACATATTTAATTCAAATTAAAAGGATAAAAGGACACTGTGTCCTCAATTAAATACAATTTTCTTCATAGCATTCTTTAAATTTATAAAACACATTAAATGCCAAAAATTCATCCCAATAAATAACTCTGTATGCTGTAGAAAGGATTTAGATTATAAATACCTGTTACATGGTAAATATAAATTTTCAGATCCAACTGAGTAGAGTACAAATATTCCACATAAGAATGTATTGATTTGGTTCTCTACAAATCTATCTCAAGAAATCCCAAAGAATTTATATTACTCATCCCTTAACATGAGAAAGAATTGTACCAATAAATTATAAATACCGAGAGAATAAATATATAATTACATAATAAATATTGACCTTTTAGATTTGGCTATCCCTTAACATGAGAAAGAATTGTACCAATAAATTATAAATACCGAGAGAATAAATATATAGATATTACATAATAAATACTGACCTTTTAGATTTGGCCTTCTAAAGCATGGGCATTTTAATTAAATTTAAATAACCTCTAGACAGGCATATATAAACCATTTTTTTTACACTTACTTGCATGTACTCTGAAAGTTCAAAATAGGCCCTTCCAATTTGGCACAATACCCAACCAGTATTGTAGTGGTGAGAGGGTAGATGGCTCAAAATATTTATAGCTTCTTTGCAGTTGTATGAACACAAAGCTAAATAACCTTTTCCCATTTCACGAAGAAGGCTCATCAAACCTTCTAGGAGAAAATAATATAGTAAACAAAGGAGGAAAAACACAATAAATAAAACAATTTGTCTTCCTAGGAAGGCTAATTACAAACTGATCCATTAAAAATTCCATCTATACACACTGTATATATGTACTGAAATATCACACTGTACCCTGTAAATATGTACAATTATTATGTGTCATTTAAAAATAATCATAAAAAATTCCAATATCTATATAGAAAAGAATGACGGCACTAACTTAAAATAAGTGCAAAATAAAATAAAATACAAAGAAGATATTAAGCATTTAAAACAGACCTGCTGCTGCTTTTTGTAGATTAAAAGCCTGGATCTGAGGTGTGATTGTGGATATTTTCCCTTCTGAAATGATGGAAGAGTCCAATTTTGTAATTTCTAGGCTATCATTTATGTTAGGTTGAGTTATTCCTCCTTTATTAGTTTTACTTTTTGTTTTTCTGTTTGGGATTTTAGGTGGAAACTTCATTTTTAATTTTTTGCTATTCTCCTGTAAAGGGGGAGAAAATTTCATACTTGTTATATATTTTAGATTTCCTCTCAATCCTTTCTGTACAATCTTGATTAATCTATATTTTTCTCAGAAGAAATTTTATAAAAACAAAGATCTTCAAAGTCATTTTCTTTTCTTTTTCTGTCCAAGTGGGCTTGAATTACCAATCTTTCAGTTGACAGCTGAACATGCTAACCAATTGTGCCAGAGAGACACCTCAAAGTCATCTAATGTTAAATGCAACAATTCTGAACATAAATTACATTCAAAGTGATTAGGTGCATCAGCATTAAATGTTGATCTGAAAATATATCACACTCTCATTTATCATTTAAAAATAAGAAAAGAAGTGGGTGCAATACTAATTGTCTCAGAGTATTATAATTGATAAGTCGTAAAATTGTTGATGTGGATATGACGAAGTTCAAGATCATCCATAATATTTGTCAATGGACCAAGAAAATTTACTAAAAGCATAAGGAGGTGCTCCAATTTTTTAGACTTTTCATTTTGGAATAATTTTAGACTCACAAGAACTTGCAAAGAAAACACAGAATTTACATTTATTCTAAGCTCCAATGATAACATCTGACGTAACTAATATCATTGTATCCAGGAAACTGGAATTGGTACAATACTATGAACTAAACTACAGACTTTATTTGGATTTCTTCAGTTTGTACATGAACTTTGTGTGTGGATGTGTATACATATTCTATGAAATTTTATCACATGAATGGATTTGTATAATCAACCACCACAAAGAAATTCTTTTGTGCTGTGCTTTAATAGTCACATCCTCTCCCCAGCTGTAACTCCTGATAAGTAATGACTGCTTGTCCATTACTATAATTTTGTCATTTCAAGAATGTTATACAATATTTACCAAAGGACCAAGAAAATACACAAAAATTATAGATTGTCCTCCAAATTAAAAATTATTTTAAAAATTCTAAATAATTTCTTTCTTTATTAGAGATGGAGTCATCAATGAACAGAAATTTTAGCAGGGGAATCATTAAGTAAACGTGACATACAAAAATCTTTAAATTACCTTGGTTGTAGAGCTGTCACTAGTAAAAAGTCGTGAACTTCTTCGAGGCAGTGCATTTGGGGGGGATGTAATAGTGGGGCTCAATACCTGAGGTGTTGTACTAAAAAATAATCATAAGAGAAGACATTTTTTTTACTCAGCTTATGACCATTAACTATTGTTTCAATTCAACTATATTAAAAATTATGCATTAATCATGTAAGTACTCTAAAGTTGCTGAGTCTGGTCAGTCCTTTTATATTCTCTCTATGAAAACTCAGAATTTAAAAACTATTCATGTTATTATAAAATAATAAAGATTGTAGCACAGATCTTCATTCTATCTGAAATTGCTAATTTGTTTAAAAATAATCCATATAAAAATTCTGGGTCAATAAGTAGTAAGCCAATTACATTTAGCCCTTATTTGCAACTACAACAAGTTAAGGAAAAAGGAAAATATAGTTGGGTGTGGATCACCTAACTGTGGGGTATTTGTTGACAAATAAAAACCACTAGAACAACTGATATTTGAGAACTGATACCTGAGTTGTTCCCCTGTAAATTCAAACAGCTACATCAAAGCTTTGTTAGATTTAGAGCAATAAGAGTCTGATAATCACTTGGACACATTTTTACTTTAACGACAAACCCTAAGATAAGAATTTCATTTTTACAAAGCAAGCAAACTTAAAACATGAAATGATCTAATTGAGAGTGGATAAGTTTATAGACTAAACTGTTTATAGCTTATAATTTATGGGAAATCCTACTAGTTACCCGAGTCTGGGTCAAAGAAGCTTCTGAAAATAAAAGAGAT